CACTGCACAGTTGACTCGAAACACGAGGAGACTGGAAAGAAAACGGCAGCGAGCCCTGGTGCTGTCATTACATCTATATATTGCTAAATACATTAAAAATAAAAGACGACATGCATGAGGGAAACGAATTACAGTTGTAAAAGGTGCCGCCATGAAATCAACATGTGACTACGTAGTGGCGCCGGATTTTGATTTCTTTGCTGTGAAAAATACTACACACAAAGGGGAAAACGACACGAGGGTAAAAATGACAAGGAAAACTTATCCTACCAGCTACCATGTCGGATGCCGAGCAGCGGCAACAACCCAAGCTATAAATCCGGACAGGAAAAAAAAAGCAGGCGATCCAGCAGAGCTTGCTAGATTTCATCTCCACTCGAGGCGGAGAGAAATTAAGAGTGATGGACGGCTACCTGTGGCGTTGCCACATGGCCTCGGTCACGTGGGTTTGTGACGTAAGGGGTAAAAGAATCTTGAGGTCATGGGGCTTCCCCTGACCTGGATTCTATCTCTCCGTCACCGGCAGAATCGCTGATTAATGCCTACAGTTCAAAATAGTCATTTTGACTGACCGGAGTCTATGGTGGGTAATTGAACGTATTGAATTGAATTTGCGGTTTTTAACAAGAAGTCGAAAATATCACTTTTTACCAAAAATGACAAAAATGTTCACCAAAATTAGAGAATTGAAGATATCATCATAAAATGAACAAATCTGAGAGAGGTCTACCCAAGGTACATATACACAAAGTATCAAAGCATTCAGGCTTGTGGTTTTCAAAAAGAAGTCGAAAAAGTAAAACATTGACACGAACAACGACGGACGACGAACAATCACTCATATGATAAGCTCCGCTCGACAAAGTCGACAGCGGAGCTAAAAATAAATACATGAGAACATGCAGATACCTACCGACACAGTCACAATATCTGTTTCTATCTTTTCTTCTTCAACAAATCCTTCATACAAATCTCTTAAAAATTCAGACCATTATCATTGATATCTCCTACATTCACCGTTATCTCGGTTGTAGATGTTCTTCCTCCACCATCACTGGCTGCTCCTATAAACCTATACTGATCATCATTAGAGCTTTCTCTGTCTAAGTTGTCACTATCACTGACGTAAATGACACCAGTTGTACTATCTACAAAGAACCTGCAAAAAAATACAATTAGATGTGTTATAAAACAAATTTCTTATGATTTCATAATATACTGTGGTGAGATTTGGCAAGTATCAGTCTTCAGTCAAAAAATGCACAACTTACATTTCAGCATTATTCCCTTGTATTCCGTAGGTAACTTCACCATAAGTTCCAGAATCTGCATCAGTTGCCTAAACAAAAATACAACACAATATATCATATATTGAACTCTTTCATTGAATGGTCACTATGCACAAATTAGACTGTACCTTATCTTAGATAATTTCTATCGACTGCATTTTATTTTGGATGTACATTTGTATGCTAGTTTTTGACTATTTTTATTTTTGATCAGTGCACAAAAACTACTTACATTGAGTTGTAAAACTGATGTCCCCTCTGGTGAATGTTCATCTACAGTACCAATGTATTCTTCAGCTGAAAAAACTGGGGAGTTATCATTCATATCCAGTAGGGAAACCGTCACATTAGCAGTACTGCTCAGACCTTCATCAGATTCGTGCTCATAGGCCAAAACCTAGTATCAAAGGAGATATTGTTAGATTAAATTGTACGAGGTACGCTCAACTCAACAAAGGACACATGTTTTTTTGTTTTAACTACATTTTAAGCAGCATTTTTATCTTGCTAAATGACATGAAATGATTATAAGCACTTTTTCGCAGTTACTATTTCACCCAAGGTGCACAAATTAATGTATTGAAAGTCCACAATGTCTGTCAGAATCTCATGCAGCTTTCTTTCAGTTTTGAAATGTGTTGTTGCCACACTATTGATCAGAATTTTGTTAGCATGATACATTATTAGTGGATGCATTTAAAACTACTTTTAACTGATTTGATTTTGTGTTAGACAAAATTTCACATGATGAGATTTTGTAACTGTGAACATTTCATGGGGTTCTTTAAATCAGCACTTGCTTCAGAACTGCGCATATGTCAGATCTGTTAAAAGCAAGTTATTATTAAAATTCAAACAATTTTCAAAACTATATGTGTCATAATTAATAGTTCCATGGCCCTGAACAATGTTTATGTTTTAAGCTGTACACACAGTGTAGGTAAAGAAGAACAATAACGGAACAGTAGAATACACACATGTTCAGTTCTAACAACAGTGCTGCTTTTAAATACAGTATACATATTTACAGCAACTTTAACATAATTTCGCCTTCAAGAACATCCCTTAAAATAATCAAACACCAACAATAGACAAGTTTTGAGTTATAGCATAATCAGTCAGTTCCCGAGTGAGAATGGGAACTGGTTGATTTCTAGATCATGTAATTAGTTCTCTGGTTCCTGGTGTTCTGAGCTATCAAACCCCCCCCCCTCCCAGCAAAATCCCCCCCCCCCCACACACACACAGTCGAAACTGGAATCTTTTTACATATAACGTAAAACAAATTTCTTCACCCACCAACAGGGAACGTGAGCTGGGATTAGACCGTCGTGAGACAGGTTAGTTTTACCCTACTGATGAGGGTCAGATCGTCAGCATATAAGATACTGTGGTGAGATCAGTTTCTAACATAACATTGGAACTCAAAACTTGTTTATTATAGCATCAGATATTCATCTGTTTACAGTATTCATAGTAGTCTACAGCATGATTTGGTGGGACTATACTTTGTACATTTGCTTCAATAAAAAAACAGAAACACACCATGTACATACAATAAAACAGTAAACACATTACTTTGATTACACTACTTTGGCTAAAAAGTGATGTACTGGCAACCAAGTGAATATGATCAAACAGAAAAATTAAATGTTAATGCCTTCATAGTAACCATTTGGTATACTAACCTGAAATTCAAACTTCTGTGTGATTTCATAATCCAGTTTGTCAGGATTTTTCACTCTGATAACAGCATAGGCTGATGAATAGGCTTCTTCTGGATCTACATAAAACGTTTCACTTGCGTCGTCATTGTTAATGATACTAAGGTTGAACGATGCTCCTTCTAGAGTCTTGGGTTCGAATATACGAATATGGATAAGAAAAATATTTTACATTATTTTTGGGGTTGTGCATATCCATGTAACTATATTATTGCTTTTAACAACCTACATACACAGGAACACCTACTTTGAAGAAACTTTAAATCAGAAACTTAAATTAGATCTCCTTGATGCATTAAGGAATTTGTTTTTTTCATCACACTGTTTCATTGCAGTACTGTTATTTTTTTTACAGATGCCTCATCTAGATGGACTTGGTACCACCTTGAAGATTTTTGTTTCAATGTACTTGTATTGCTAACAAAGGTGGATTACAGCATGATCAATGCATGCTATTATTGAAATGAATGAAACAAAGCAAAAAGCATCACAAATTAAATTTCAAGCATCACAGGCAAAGAGAAAGCATCACTAGTAGTGTTCAGGCTAAAATTTACGCTAATCTCATATGATTGCATATCGAATATACCCAAATGCATTTACACATGGAGGGGAGAACTGTAGTTAGCAGCTGGGATAATTAACGCCCAAACTTGTTAAGAATATCCACAAATCTTCAGTCATTTTAACTATGATAACCTGCACTCAGTACAGTAACTAAGAAGATATACATGTTAATTCAATGGTTATAAAATAATACCAAAGCATATTCAGAAGGTAGCACAGCGTGTTTCATCATCTGTTTTTTTATCTTCTCAAGAACAACATCTTGATGTGCTCACGCTGATTGTCATGTCGAGAATGGCATACAAAAATGAATTGTTACCCTGGTAATGAATATAATAGTAAACCTTCCAAATCAACATTGAATACAATAGCATTTTGGGCGCTTATCCCAGGCTAAGTGTTCATGTATACTTTGTTAGCCTGTGCTAAAGATCCTAAAAACAGGCCAGACAAGATCCGTACTTAGCATTTCTTAGCCCATGCTAAGCGTTCACCCACGCTTTCTTAGCAGTGGCTATTAAGGTATTTGACCCCTTAGCCCAGATCTGTGCGTGAACGCGACTACTGTGTGCATCTGAGAAATACACTGCATTGTGATATATGTGATAGAATAACCTGCACTTACCGAGTCAGGGATCTATGACAATCATTGTGATGTCATTCACAACAAGCTCGTTTTGAGAGTTTTCCTGAATACTCCCACTATAAGAGAGCTGATCGAAATACGGTGCTTCGTCATTTTCATCCAACACAGTTATAGTAACTTGTGTAAATGTTGTAATTTCATGTATTGGATCATCACCACTATCTTCCTCTATGGCCTACAATGAAAACAATCAAAGCGATCGTAAATTAATTGGATCACAAGGATATGGCAATTTTTTTACCAGACTTCTTAAAAAGTGTTGCAATCGTGATTTCTATTGTGGAAAAAAAGACATCAGACATCAATAGATTGAGTATAAAAAATATTTCAACTACATGTACTTAACTTAAAAATTTCAATTTTTCTGCAACATGTAAAATAATTTATTAATGGTCGCATTATTGGTAAGATGATTATTATAATTACTGCATTATTAGTGCATTTGCTTACATAAATTATAGAGGTTTGTCTATGTTCAGAATAAGAAATATTTCAATGATTCAGTTTACAACAAATGTGATTTTTGGTTTATATGATGTGCTTCTAATATAGAAAATACAGTATATGGTTGGCTGACAAGTGTCGCTATTAGAAATACAACACAACATTTTATTCCTGAGTATTTTGGAGTCATAATGTAATGGTTAAGCTGGTCAGATCGGATTTTTGATGAACTCGATATACTCACTGATAAATTGAGTGTCATGAGACCATTGACGAGCCCTTCAGCTTCCCGGTCCAGCCCCACTGAAGTATATATAATACCAATATTATTGCCACCATCATCTGGCACCGTATCAACCCAGAAAGAATCTGTTTCGTTGTCTTCAGCTATGGATAAAATATACGTGTAATGTATTTGAAACCAAAAGAACAAATAAAAGAAACACAAAAATATTATCCCCAATTTTTCACAACAAATGCTCAAAATATGGTAATGATTCTGCTAGAAATTTTCTGAATTTGAAGATTCGATTACGTTAACAAAGCCAAAATTTAAAGAAATCTTAATCTTAGAACCCAATAAAAATTCTCCTGATTTTTATTTACTCGCAAAATTTGATAAATGGCAATATATCGATACTCAAATGAACTCTCAATTAACTGTTCTTTTTCACAAATCAGAAAAATCCCAAAATTTAACTATAAATTAACTGTTTTCATTCTACAAGAGAATGAACTAAACAAATCAGATGAATTTTAAAATTTTATCTTGGGATGACTTTTACAACTTTATTTATTGAATATACTTTCAAATTTTCAAATCAAGAAAAAATGTAGCAATAAAAAGTTCTGATCTGCATATGTATAATATTATGTATGATGTATGTGTGAAGTTTGAATGTAATCAGTCCAGGCATGTCTAAGATATAGGTCTGGATGGACGCATGGATGCACGCACAGAGGTCATTCTATAACAGAGACTAATAAAGTAATTCACAGTATATATAATCCATTACTTACAAACAATCTCATAATATATCTGCCGCGGAACACCTCTATCTCCATCTATTGCAAATACTTCCATCACAGAAGTATTCTGCAAACAAATAAAAACACCAGTCAATGAAATGTAATTTAACTTTTT